AAAAAAAAAAAAAAAAAACCAAAAAAACCGCCAGCAGGACACAGCCCAACTGTCTACATACTCAGTTATCTCCCTACGGAATAAAACCTCAGGGGCCACCAGTAGAAGGGATGAAGGCTTTCCCTTTCTGCGCTGTATACACAATCTATGTGTACTATTTGAAAAAAGTGTGTACAAGCAGTTTGCTTTAACTTTGATGTGAAAACATTAAACACTCTTTTTTTCTGTTTGTTTTGTTTTTTTTCTTTAAGGCCAGCCATGGTAGCTCACACCTGTAATCCTAGCACAGGAGGGTGAAGTGGGAGGATTGCTTGAGACCAGGAATTTGAGGCTGCAGTGGGCTATGATCATACCACTGCACTCCAGCCTGGGTGACAGGGCGACACCCCATCTCAAACAAACAAACAAAACCACACATTTAAATAAGAAATACTGAAGTTTCCAGTGAGCAGAACTGGCCAGCCGAAACTGACTACAGCGGGCCTTTGCACTGGTCTGCAGTACCAGCCACCCCAGATATCTGTTTCAGCCCCACTGAGAAGTCAGCTCAGCCTTTCTCTTCTGTTGTCTTTGCCCCATTTGGCAGTCCAAGGCCCAATGCCACTGGCAGGACAGGCCCTGTGGCTCTGCAGAGGGGCCAGCTAGGCAGATGCCTGCTGTGTGCCAGCAGCACATCCGTGGCCCGGCCACTTCAGCCCTCTCAGATGGCCGTCTCCTTGTGTTGTTCACAGCCCTAGACAGCATCTAGAATGTGACTGTTCTCTTATGAACAAGGATTCTCTTTCTTCCTGCCCAGCTGTGTTGCACAGTGAAACCTAGCTGACTGCCTTCTCTTAGCAGATGAGAAAATGGTCACTGTCCTTCCTAAGCCTGCACCAACTTCTCCCCACCCCTTCTCCACCCAGCCCAGCAGGCAGCACCTGGCAGGACTACAATGCAGGCATTGGGAGGAAGAGGCTCGGGGCTGGTCCACACTCGGGGCCAGAACTGTCACATTTTACAAAGGAAAGACTCAGGGCAACTGTCAAAATAGCCGAGGACCTAATTCATTAAAATATCAGAAACCAACAGCTGAAAATAGTAGGTGGTTTTTGGCAAACATAGAACCCCAACCAATCAGACTTGAGCTAGCTGTGAGTAGATGGAGATGCTAAACTTGACTACCTCGACAGCTCACACCATTTACCCAGCTTCCTCCGTATTTACACTATGATTAGCCATGAAGTGTTCTGTGCTCTTGAAGAAAGTAGGAAGCTGGTGAATTGTGAAAAATATTTTGCCACTGTCTCATAGCAACAGACGTTCCAGTTAAATATTTGGGAGTCAAGAGCTGAACGTCTTCTGTACTGATACGGTGTGATGTTAGTCAGTGACGCCAGACAGTTAGCACGAGGCTGCCAACTCTAAGCTTTGCCAGTAGGGCTGCAACAGGTCCCCAGGGTTTTCTCAGAGTTCCCCCTCTGGTTTTGAGCTCACACTGGGTGATGGAGTAAGTGTCAAGGGTCTGTGCATTCCCTGCCCGGTCTTCTAGCCCTGAATCTGGAAGAAAAAGTTAGCAATGTAGAAAGAGACTGGAAGAATGTTTAACTTTCTGGTGCTTCATTCTTTTCCCACAAAACTTTCCAACAATCGAATAGGCACTCCTGCTATACAACCAGCAATTCATTAAGGAAAAGTTTTTATTTTTTTTGAGGCAGGGTCTTGCTCTGTCGCCCAGGCTGGAGTGCAGTGGTGCAAACACGGCTCACTGCAGCCTCAACCTCCCAGCTCAAGCGATCCTCCCATCTCAGCCTCCTGAATAGCTGGGACCCCAGGTGCATACCACCACGCCTAGCTAATTAAAAAAAATTTTTTTGTACATAGGGGGTCTCATTATGTTGCCAGGCTGGCTTCAAACTCCTGGGCTCAAGTGATCCACTTGCCTCAGCCTCCCAAAGTGTTGGGATTACAGGCATGAGCCACTGTGCCCAACTGGGAAGCTTTCTTTTCTTCCTTTTTTTTTTTTTTTTTTTTTTTCAGGGTCTTGCTCTGTCACCCAGGCTGGAGTACAGTGGCTCAATCTTGGCTCACTGCAACTCTGCCTCTCGGGTTCCAGCGATTCTCCTGCCTCAGCCTCCTGAGCTGGGATTTAATTGGAATTTTAACAAGTTGACACTATTTTTAGTTAAGAATTGGGAATTGTTTAAATGAATATGCTTATTTTATTGAAATAATATATTTGTTGGGCTGGGCACAGTGACTCACGCCTGTAATCCCAGCACTTTGGGAGGCCAAGGCAGGCGGATCCACCAGTTCAGGAGTTTGAGACCAGCCTGGCCAACATGGTGAAATCCTGTCTCTACTAAAAATATAAAAATTAGCTGGCCATGGTGGCATGCACCTGTAATCCCAGCTACTCAAGAGGCTGAGGATTACAGGTGCCTGCCATCATGCCCAGCTATGTTTTGTGTTTTTAGTAGAGACAGGGTTTCACCATGTTGGCCAGGGTGGTCTCGAACTCCTGATCTCAGGTGATCCGCCCATCTGGGCATCCCAAAGTGTCGAGATTACAGGTAACTTTCACTTTTAAAAGAATACACTACTAATGTAAGTTTGTGTTTCCTAAATCATTTCAAACTCTATTTGAAAATGTAATGACACTGGTTTATTGTAATTTACCAACTCTAACTGAAACAATATTGTATAAAGCCAGTGAGGATGGATCATCTCCAGTTCACAGACAATCCTGCCTCTTTTACTGGAGAACAACTTAAAAACTATTTAGCTAAACAATATAGAATGTTCATACATTCTGGATACTTCTCTTCTCCATAACGAATATATTATTATTATAATATGTATTTTTTGAGACGGAGTCTCACTGTCGTCCAGGCTTGAGTGTAGTGGCACTATTACGGCTCACTGCAACCTCTGCCTCCCAGGTTCAAGTCATTCTCCTGCCTCAGCCACTTGAGTAGCTGGGATCATAGGCGAATGCCACCATGCCCAGCTAATTTTTTGTATTTTTAGTAGGGGTTTTGCCATGTTGGTCAGGCTGGTCTCGAACTCCTGACCTCGTGATCCGCCTGCCTTGGCCTCCCCAAGTGGTGGGATTATGGGCATGAGCCACCGTGTCCGGCCTAACAAATATGTTATCTTAACAAAACAAGCATATTCATTTAAACAATTCACAATTCTTAACTAAAAATAGTGTCAACTTGTTAAAATTCCAATTAAAGGCATATCATGTCAGAACAACCTGTTGAAAACTTAAAACATTCTGAATCAAAAATAGGGTTGCATGTCAGATGAAGCAAAGATACAAGAAGCAATTTTGGGAAAGCTTTTAAACACCAAAGGTCATTTCTAACATTTTTGAAAGCTTACAGGGACAATTAGATAACTAAATGAGTACCATAGGTCTGTCATAATTTGTTTTAATCTTCGTGATCCCAATTATCAACAGCTAGACAGAACTTACACTCTCCCAAATGTTCGATTCAAATAAACTGAAGAAAACCTACACAATTGCTGAAGTGGCGGCTATGACAAACTAGCTTCTCACCACTTCACAGTTTGTGATGCACTCATTTCATAAAGGTCAGTTCATGGCTTTGACTCTCTCTAAGACCTGGCCAGGTCCCGACTGCACTGTGCTGACAGCTGGTGGGTAAGGCCACCTCAAGGTGCCCATCCAGACTGGATGGCTCCCTCAGTTGCTGCCAAGACTGGGGCAGATTGGGCTTGGGCCAGACAGCCATGACCTGCCGTAAACCTTCTCCATGAAAGCTGCCTTTTCCGTGACCACACCTTTTAGAAAACTGACATCTTTCTTTTGACAGAGTTAAGGCATGCAAGAGCATATGAAAAATAATATCATGAATCTCTACACACCTACCACCCATTTAAGAACTAAAACTGACCACGGGTACATGAAGCCCTGTGTAACAAGTCTGAGTGTGAACATACTAAACCATGTAGAATTGGATACTTTTTTTTCCTATTTTCTCTCAAAAAGCAGTAATGGGCGTGGTGTGAGTTTCGGCTAACCACCCTGCCCCTGGGAACAGTGCAGCAAGCACTGAGATGCATTTTAATGTCCTGTCTTCTGGCTCCTCTATGTGCGGGTCCTGGTGTGATACGTGTGCAGGTTTCTCTTTTTCACAATGACAATTTATGTCAGCATAGAAAGCCAAATTCAGAGCAGTTCTTACATTTTTTATAAAGCCCTGAGTCTCTCACAAAATAAGCATTCAGTTGCTACATTTCTTTGAAAAGTTTAATTTCAGGCAAAAGTGCAGCAAAAACTGTATTTTCACGCCTGGCTAATTTTGTGTTTTCAGTAGAATAGGGTTTTACTGCTGGTGGCATTAATTCAATTGGAAGTGTGTAAAAAGGGCTTGTATCTCCTCACTCTTTGACCCAGTAATTTTGCTTTTTGAGAATCTATTCTGAAGTCAAAGTCAGGAATATACAAATTTAAGAAGATGTTCAATATTCCTTTGGTTTTTGTTTGTTTGTTTTTTGAGACGGAGTCTCTCTCTATTGCCAGGCTGGAGTGCAATAGCACGATCTTGGCTCACTGCAACCTCCGCCTCCTGGGTTCAAGCACTTCTCCTGCCTCAGCCTCCTAAGTAGCTGGGACTTCAGGCATGCGCTACCATGTCCAGCTAATTTTTGTATTTTTAGCACAGATGGGTTTTCACCATGTTGGCCAGGATGGTCTCAATCTCTTGACCTCATGATCTGCCGCCTTGTCCTCCCAAAGTGCTGAGATTACAGGCATGAGTCACCGTACCTGGCCTCAATATTCCTTTTATGAGCAAAAGTTGGCTAGGTGTGGTGGCTCACGCCTGTAATCCCAGCACTTTGGGAGGCCAAGGCACACGGATCACCTGAAGTTGGGAGTCTGAGACCAGCCTGACCAACAGGTAGAAACCCTGTTCTACTAAAAATACAAAAGTAGCCAGGCGTGGTGGCATATTCCTGAAATCCCAGCTACTCAGGAGGCTGAGGCAGGAGAACTGCTGGAACCCAGGAGGCGGAGTGTGCGGTGAGCCGAGATCGCACCATTGCACTCCAGCCTGGGCAACAAGAGCAAAACTCCATCTCAAAAAAAAAAGAGCAAAAAGTTGGAAAGAAACAGCTTCCTGATTATTGGCCATTATAAAGTTACATAAAGAATTAATTGCACATTATGGAGCTATTGAAAATTATGTATTTTAGAAACGAAACAGTAATATGAAATATGGTTTATAATATAATGTTCAATGGAAAAAGATATAAATGATATCGTGATTACAACTAATGAAAGTCAGTAAATAGAAAGAAACAAAGGTGAAAAAATACCTCAGTGCTAACAATGATTATACTAACATGAAGAGCGTATGAAATTTTTTTTTAACTCTAGCTTTAAACTTTTTAAGAATGTGATTATATTAGTTTTTGCTGAAAAATAAAAGCAAAGCAAAGTAAAAATCAGAAAGAAATAAATACAAGTCATTCAGGATGGCAGGGAGAGCTCCCTTTTAAATATGTTAAAAGGTTATATTCCCCTTCATGAGACGATGTCAGCTGTGTCACCTGCTGTGCTTCCTTTTTTGGATTTAGTTGCCAGAAACTCAGAGCTAAAATTAATTCTCAGCTACAGCTGAGCTCACAGTTGACCCTATGTTGTAAACTGCTACGTTTATGCCTGTCTTTTACTGCCGTTTCATATCCTTCTTTGAAGAAGTTATATATTTTACTTAAGTAAAACTTTAAGATCTTCTTTATCTATAAAATTCACAGATGTGCTTGAAATGTTTCTGTATCTCAGGAAGCACTCCTGCAGGGGGAGGCAGGTGGCGAGGGAGGCGGGCTTTCACTGTGAGGCCTTTTCCAGCTGCGCACCGTGTGCACACATTGCCTATCTAAGAGGTGTGATTTCTAGAAGGTGTATTGGTTAGAAATACATGAATTGTGTCTGGTAAAGCTTGCTGAGACTATGGCAGACTCAGGCAACTGTAATTCTGACTCAAGATATCTTAGCAGTCCACTCAGATTCTTACCAAAAATCCACTGAACCTCAAGGGGAAACGACTGGGCAGAATTCTACAAGGAAGTGGGGTGATAGGGCCATTTCTTCCTGCAGATTCTTACATGGGTCTACGACACCAAGATGCTTGGGGGTCCTTCATTTCAGACTGTAAAGTGAAGACACTCAGAGAAGGGAACTGATGCCACCAACGGGCAGAGCTAGGGTCAGCTGCTCAGTTTCCCTCTCCTGGTGTGGTGCTATGTCTTCCTGGCTATGTTAACTCTGTGACCTGGGAATGTGGTCCAGAAAGAAACTGTGGCTGCTGAGTCTATACCTACTAAGTGAGTTGTTCAGTGCTGATCTGTATAAAATGGGGTGGTCCTTTTTCCTTCCTCACAATACAGAGTATTAATGTTATCCAAGTCAGGTCCACTACAGTGCTCACAGAGCAATCCTTCCAAATTTAAGGATGACACACCATGTGGTGGTGGTAAGGGCAAGAGGGGCTCTCAGACACCCAATGTGGGCGTGCGAATGGATTCAGCTCTTCTGGAGGCCAATCTGCAACCTCCATGTGTGGGCATTTCTGCAGAACGGATTCCTTGAACTGGAACTCTTGGATGGAAATTATTGATTTGCTCAATCTGTTAAAAGTAGTTCTCTGAACAGCTGTTATTTTCCCAAACACTTTCACCAACACTAGCTCTTAGCAGCTTCTAAAATACTGGCCAATCTGGTGGGAGAAAAAATATTTTGTTTTAATTGCCTGTCACCTCTAGTCACCAGGACATTTTGTCCCCAGGTATTTCTAGCTTTTATTACAATTGTGAATAGGATGTGTTCCCCCATGTATCTTATAACTGATTATTGCTTTTAAGGTGATTCTTCTGTTCCAGTTTGCCTGGGACCCTGACAGTTTTAGCACTCAAAGTCTCACGTCCTGGGGAACACCTTCTCCCAGTTCCAGGCTAATCAGAAGGACCGGTCGCCTGATAGCAAAACTATGAATTTCTGAATACTTTTATCTTGTGTCTGGCTGCCTTACTGAAGTCTTGTAAGTTCTAGTCATTTTTCAGCTGACAGCCTATCTGGAAATTCCAAGAGAATAATTTCATCTACAAATAACAGTTTTGTCTTTTCCTTTACAATATTTGTATCTTTTCCTTCTCTGGCTTTTGTGCACTGGCTAAAGCCTTCAGAACATGGAATAATTATAGAGAAAATGGACATTTGTTTCTTATACCTAATTCTGCTGGGAACACTTCTAATGTTTCACCAGGCAGTATAATGTTGCCATGGGTTTCTGGTAGATAATCTGTAAATAAAGGAAGTTTCTTTCTACTTCCAACTTACAAAGAAATTTTTTGTCTTCTGCAAATCAGGAACACATCCAAAACTTTATCTTTTTTAAAAAAAAATTGTTTCCTGGCCTGGCGTAGTGGCTCACGCCTGTAATCCTAGTACTATGGAAGGCCAAGTAGGGTGGATCATGAGGTCAAGAGATTCAGACCATCCTGGCCAATATGGTGAAACCCCATCTCTATTAAAAATTCAAAAATTAGCCAAGTGTAGTGGCAAACGTCTGTAGACCTCGCTACTTGGGAGGCTGAGGCAGGAGAATCGCTTGAACCCCAGAGGCAGAAGTTGCAGTGAGCCAAGATTGCGCCACTGCACTCCAGCCTGGAGACAGAGTGAGACTCTGTCAAAAAGAATAAAAATTGTTTCCTGCTGGGAGTCAGAAAAAAAAAAACACTTTTGGGGGCATCTATTAAAATGTTGTTTTTAATCTATTAGTAGGCTTCTTAATGTTGAACCATCCTTGCATTCCTGGGATGTTGCTAATATTTATCAAACACTGATTTTTTACTAGACATTCTAAGTATTTATTTAATCCTCACATCTCACTAAGAGGTAGACAGTCCCACTTACAATGAGGAAATTAAGTCACAAATAAGTTAAATAAGTCTCAGTCCACCTAGTGAGTGGCAGGGCCAAGATTTAAACCCAGGGAGTATGGCAGCACAGCCAGACTCCTAACCATTACACTGTCTGCCTCTCAGTCTTACTTGGTCACAATGTGCTATTAATATTTTTTAAAAACACAACTGCATTTGATATTCTAAATATTTTATTTTGGATTTTTGCATCTATATTTTTAAGTGAGTTTGATATAGAGCTTTCACGTGTATGTTCTAGCAGAAGCTACCTAGCCTCATTGGAAATGTTGGAAGTTTCCCATTATTTTTTCTCTGGAATGGTTTAGATAATGGGATAGCCTGTTACCCTCAATTAAACTATCTCTTCCTGGTTGGTGCTTTTTGAGAAAGGGGTTGGAATGTAGATTTTTCATGATGTATTTGATGCCTACATTGTAGTGCCTTTAAGCTAGAATCAGCCTACAAATGCTGACATTTTCTTGGAAAACACTACCTTTCTCAGGTATTGGAAATACGTTTGGTTGGGTGAGGTTTTTTTTTTTTGCAATAATGTAAATAGATATGTGGTCTCCAGCAATAAAACAGTCACGTGGGAAACTTCCAAATCTGCCACGTATCTTGTAGGTTCTACTTGATAACACTAATGGTACCACTTCATTTAATTTTATATAATTTTCTTTAGAAGTCTACAGAAAGATCGGTTTTACCATCATTTTTTAGGTGGAAGAAGCAAGGAAAAAAGGATTTACCTAATTCTGATAAAACCAATATAGGAACCAAAAACAAAAGGCAAAATAACTTTATAATGACAGGGAGAAAAAAACTGATGTCTAAAATTGTTTCTTGGTTTTTGCTTGTTAATCAAGAACTGTCAGTAGAAGAATTTCATTTAGAGATACAGAGGTCGTTTCCTACCAAAAAAGTCAAGATTTTAAAAAAACTGTTCCCTGTGATAAACCCAGCTGGGGGCGGGAGGGGTGGGGCTGGGGACTGCTGATTTCCATTCACAGTTTTTGTATGACCCATGATGCTTTAAACCTGGCATATAAACTGATTTTTTTTTTTTTTTTTTTTTTTTTTTTAAAGAAGAACGTGAGAAAGATGGAACGTACCGAAGATGAAGTTGTCAGGCCGGAAAAGCTGCCCGAAAGGCCCGGAGCGCACGCTGTCCATGGTGCCTGGCTCTAAGTCCACCAGGGCGGCCCTGGGCACATATTTCTGAGCTAGAGGAGAAAAGAGCCACCCACAAGAGTTACTTTCAGGTTTCTGAAATAATGGACTTTCCCCTTTCAAATTCCACCAGTTATAGCTGCTTGGGATGGATCAACCAGGGTCTTTTCAGAGAGGGTACAGGCACTTTCTTAGAATCACAGAATTGGCTGGGCACACTGGCTCAAGCCTTTAATCTCGGCATTTTGGGAAGCCGAGGTGGGCAGACTGCTTGAGCCCAGGAGTTCAAGATCAGTCTGGGCAAGAGAGCAAAGCCCTATTTCTGGAAAAAAAAAAAAATTAGCTAAGGTGGTGTGCACCCCTAGTCCCAGCTACTCTGGAAGCTGAGGTGGGAGGATCACCTGAACCCAGGAGGTCAAGGCTGCAGTGAGCCATGGCTGTGCAACTGCACTCCAGCCTGGGGCTACAGAGTGATGCCCTGTCTCTTAAAAAAAAAAAAAAAATCCCAGAACCAACACTGGAATGAAGAACCAGCCCAGGCATGATCTGGCAGAGGAAGTTCCAGGAAGCAGCAAGATGAGAAATCAAGTCCACTAACTTCCTGCCTACTGTATTTTCCAGCTCACCCTGATACCTCTTTCCTGTTAGGAAGTTTTATGATTTTAGCACCATGGAAATATTTATTTCCACTATTTATTACAGCAAATTGCCAGGTTTGGATGAAATTTCCCACTTTGTGACACCTCCCCCACGCATACACATACCTGTGCCCATGTGCAATCTGAGCACCTTGTTACTGGGAGCACTCCACTGGCTCTGTTTCCCCAGGGTCATTCTCATTTTGAGTCAGAGTGTTCTTGTGTGTCATTTTCATGCCAACTGGGCTAGAACTCGTTCCCAATGAGGACAAGGTTAATATGATTCCAAATAGGACCCACTCGTCAACTCCTGTCCTGCAGTGCACATGCCCAGATCGAAAATGGATGTACCAGGCTGGATGCAGTGGCTCATGCCTGTAATCCCAGCACTTCGGGAGCCTGAGGCAGGTGGATCACCTGAGGCCAGGAGTTCAAGACCAGCCTGGCCAACATAGCAAAACCCTGTCTCTACTAAAAATACAAAAAAAAAAAAAAAAAAAAAAAAAAGAAAATGAATGTATCCAAGCTGGGCCGACGGGTTACCAGGAAGTGCAGTGTATACTGGAATTGTCCTTAATGTCCTCTAGAAATTTCATCTTCCATTACTTGATGTTCCCAGCCTTTTGTCATTGTTGCTTAAATGAATAAAACCTAGTGATTCATGCATACTGCACTTCCCAGCTCTTGTGTGGACAAGCAGAAAGTGTCTCCAAAGTGGAGCCTTCAATAAACCAAAAGTATATCTCCCAGGAGATATCGCATGTGTGTGCAAGGGTAGCACCTGTCACTTTCTGGGTGTTCTATGTTTTTGCTTTTTGTTGTTTTGTGAAGGACATGCACTGCTTTTATAATAAAAATTATTGAATTAATGTATAAGTGTAGTCCCAATATATATATGTAGATATTCAGGACAGGAATGATATTATTTCTAAACTTGGATAAATCATAGCCTGGAAATTTTACCAAACTCCACTAGTTGCTCAGAACTGCCTGCAGTTTCAACTTCCAGGGAGGTCTGCAAGGGACCACAAAAGTACTTAACACAGCGTTTTTCAAACTTTTAGCCAAGAATCCCCAATAAGAAATTTTAAACTGGAAAAAATTTTAAACTGGAAAAAAAAAAAAAGCTTTATTTTTCTCAGAAAACGCTCTGATTTATTATAACAGGGTCTCTCTCTGTCACCCAGGCTGGAGTGCAGTGGCACGATCACAGCTCACTGCAGCCTCGACCTTCTGCGCTCAAGCTCTCAGTAACTGGGACTACAGGTGCGCGCCACCAAGCCCGGCTAATTTAAAAATTGTTGTAGAGGTGGCAGTGGCAGCGGGGCGGGGGGGGCGGGGGTGTCTCCTATGCTACCCAGGCTGATCTCGAACTCCTGAGCCCAAATGATCCTCCCGTCCCGGCCTCCCAGGACTTTGGGATTACAGCGTGAGCCACCGAGCCCAGCTAGACAGAGAAGGCTGGGCAGGAACTGCTGCGTTGATTTCAGAACACTAACGGGTGGTCCCGTTCAAGCGCTCAGACTTCGGGATAGGCCAAATCCAACTGTTTGAATAAACTGACAACGGATTTCCCGCCCCGGAGGAGCGAAGGGAGTGGCCCGGCATCCTGCTACATCCCAGGAGAACTTTTCCCGAAGCAAACTCGCCGCCCGCGAAGGCCGTGCCCGAGCGTCCACGCGGGTCCCGGCCGGGCAGGGCGCGGCGGCCTCGCTACTCACAGGATGACTCATTGTAGTAGACGTTGATTCTCTCCAGTTGCAGCGCCGAATCTCCCACGTAGCCTCCGGCCGGGTCGATACCGTGCTCATCGCTGATCACTTCCCAAAACTTGGGCAGGGCAAGGCGGGGAAACAGACGCTCAGAACCCGGAGCCCGGGGCGTCCCCACCCGCGCCCACCCCGGGCTCCCGGGCGGCCGAATTCCAGGCGCGCCTGAGCCGCCAGCGGCCGGTCCCAGCTGGGGTGGGGGTGGGGAGCGAGGGGTACAGGGTCCCCGGCCGGCCACGCCCTGGGTGCTCCCTCCCTGCGGCCCGCGCGGGTCCGCATCCGGCTCGGAGGACCCAGGGCGCCGGAGCGGGTGCGCGCCCCGGCAGGGGGTCGCGCCAGGAGACCCGGGGACCGCCAGCCGACCACCCGCGAGGAAACCCAGTGCGGCGCCCGGCCCACCTTGGTGCCGATCTGGTTCCCACACTGGCCCGCCTGGATGTGCACGATCTCCCTCATCGCGGGCGCGGCTCTGCGCTGGGCACTGGCTCTGTGGATGAAGGCAGCGACTGCGGCCGGCCCCCAGCGCCCAGGGACCGACCCTCCACGCCCCCGCCCCCGTCCCGCCGCCCGCCAATGGCCGTGAGCCCCGCCCCACCGCCCCCGCTCGACGCCGCTGCCAGGCCAGCAGCAGCGGAGGGAGGAC